ATTAAAACTTAGACCGACCTATGATGAACTGATAGGAATGATTGAGAGCCAAGGAGACCCTAACAGACCCTCAATTGAAAACGTAATTGATAGAAGGGCAACTTTATTTAGGAATAATCAGTTCGGAAGCCAGTTAGATAATATTGATTTTTTAGGATTGAAGAAGCAAGAGGAAGACAGAGCAAAAGAAGATGTAAGAAGAGCTCAATTGAGACAAAGAGGAATAACTGCAAGGATATCAACAGGTTTAGTGTCAAGTGGCTTTACAACACCAGCAGAAGTTTATGAAATGGACACTGACGAAGAAGGAGAAGGTTTTGTAATAGACGGACAAAGATTTAACATACGAACAGAACTTGAAGAAGGATTGAGAAGAAGAGAACAAGCAAGTCAAACAACAGCAGAACGAGCAAGAAGTGATTTAGATGAAGTACATAGTCAATCATTACCTGTTGGTGTTCCTGTCCATTCAATAGCCACAGATGAAGAAGATGATATGCCACCATTAGAGACACCAACGGAAATAGCTGAAGAAGGAGAAGAAGAAGAAGAAACTGAAGACGATGAAGAAACACAAGTCCCACCTGTATCAAGAAAACATAAGGAGGCGATAGATTACAATGACAACATAACAAGATGGAAAAACAAGGATGTACAAGCGGACGATATTTTATTCCAACTTTACTTAAGAGGTATTACGTTGGAAAAGAAACAGGAAGAAGAAATAAGCAAGTTAAGAAACAAAGGGAAAGGCAGAACTCTGACCAAAAAAGATTATTTATTAAACTTTATTGAAAAACTTATGATGACTGGGCAGTGGGCTAATGAAGTTAATGACCAACTACTAAGGAGTAGAATGGAAGAATGGGGGCAGATGAAAAAAGGAAAAGGTAAGGGTAGTGGAGAAGATAAATTAGTCCCTTCACAATCAGCATCATCAAGCGCAACAAAAGACATTCTTGTAGCTGGTGCAAAAGCAGGAGTGGAAACATTAGCAAAAGCAGGAGCGACAGCACTGGCAAAATCATTTTTACCAGTATAAAAATATCAATAAATAATATAATGCTATCGCGACGCCCAACTTATGAAGAAATATTAAAAGAGACAATGACACATAGACTAAAAATACTACCAGAAAGGCAGAAACGAACACAACAAGGAATATTCATAGATGATGTTGATTTTGATGATTTTGATTTAAGTAGATATGATAAAAAAGAAATAATATTAAATAATCCAGATAAGGGAACACAAACGGATTTATTTGACAGTCGTCCTTCAACTGAAAAGAGCGAGAGCATTAGAAGAGAAGAAGAACCTACACAGAGCGAAGAAGCAGAAAGCGAACCAACTCAAGAAGAAGAACCACAAAAAGAAAAGCCAGAAAGGGAAAGGGGGAAATCAATGATGAGACGAATTTACGATGCTATGTTCGGAGAAGATGAGTTTAGAGAAGAACGAGAAGAACTGCGTAATAGGAGAGAGCAAATTGAAGATGATGATGATTTAGAAAGTGAAACACCTTTTGAGCAACAAAAGAGCGAAGAAAGCGATAACAGCTTACCTATGAATGTTAAAAAATCTTATGAGTCTTCGTCATCAAGTTCAAGTTCAACAAATAGAAGCGCTTTATTACCTATTGAAGAAAATGCACTAAGCGAACATATTCATTCTTCCCCGCCAATATCAGTTCAAAGTTCAATACAAAGCAATAGAACAATTGAATATGTTGAAGAAGCAACACCACCGCAGAGTGTTATTAGTTCAAGGCGGTCACAAGAAACAATAGAATATATAAGGAGCAGAAGCTCCAGAGGAAGCGTTCGTTCAGTTGGGAGTTAATATTTGCTTTAAAGATTTTTGCGTTAAAAACGCAAATCTACTTAAAGAAATATTAACATTTACAAGTAAGATAATGAACTCAACGCTTGTAATGGATGGAGTAAAACTTCAAATGGACGATGACCTGTTTGACTGTATGTGGAACGCTATGAAGGAAACAAAATGCCGGATTTTAATAGGATGAAAAAGAACGCAACAAATGAAAGGTTGTATGTCAAATATAAGGAACAAGGGTATTGGAATAATTATTATAAGAAAAACAGTTGTAGCTATGAGTGTGAGAGGTGTGGAAAGATAATTAGCAGTAAAACGAACAGAGCCAAGCATCAGAACACTGCAAGGTGTCAGGAAATTTATGAAGAGAATAAACAAAAAGAGCTACAGGATAAGATAGTCAAAAAGGTATTGCTATGGAATTAATATTATTTAAAATATAAATAATATTAATTAATGGCTGAGAAAAATCAGGTTTTAAGCAATTTATATTATGATATTGAAAGCGGTTTTGGTAGCGCTAAGAGTTTATATGACGATGCCAGAAAAGCTGGACTGGTAATAACTTTAAACGAAGTTAAGGAATGGTTGAGGGGACAGTCTCTTAAGCAAAGAAAAAACTATAAAAATTATAACAGCTATTCGCCTCCATTTTCAAGGTCTGTGTATAGTGTAGATTTGATGAACATGATTAGTTTAATGAAAGATACTGACACATATAAAAAAGAATATCCATTGTATGGCTTTGTTTGTATTGATAATTTTAGTAAAAAATGTCATGTAGTCGTCTTGAAGAATAAAGATACAGACCCTGTTTATGATGCTTTTATGGAATGCTTTAAAGTGATGGGACATCCTCAATCAATATACAGTGACGATGAGGGCAGTTTCAATTCAAAAAAGTTACAAGACTATTTCAAAGGGGAAGGAATAACTCATAAAGTAACCTTGACACATGCTAATGTGGCTGAGAGAATGATTAGAACCTTAAAGAAAATGATAAGTGACAGATTACAAATTCATAAGGGGTCTTGGACGATTATGTTGAAACCCGTTTTAAATAAGTATAATAGTAAAATGGTTCATGGGACTACGGGGCTCACTCCTAATGAGGCTCATAAAGACGAGAATAGCATAGAAGTCAAAGCCAATTCTGTAATGAAAGAAAAATATTTAAGAAACTATCCTAATATCAAAGCTGGTGATGATGTTAGAGTATTTGTTAAAGGTAAAGGCAATTATACCAGCAGGAAAGAAAGCCGTAGTCAGTGGAGCGAGAAAGTGTATGAAGTGAAGGAAGTTAATAGAGACCCACAACTGAATAAATATTATGTTATTGATGGGTTGAGTAAAAAGTATATGAGGCACGAGTTATTATTAGTGAATAAATAAAACTACTTAAAGACAAAAAGCCTTAGAATAGTAAGAAGTATGACTGTCTTTGACTACAGCAAGTGTCAAGAGTGCAAGTATATGCGGACACAACAGAATAAGGAAACCTTAAATAAAATATTACCAGAACCAATAGCAGATATTATACAATCGTTTCATTGTTGCTGTAGCAGTTGCAATCGTCTTATGAACCTAGAAGATAATTATGATTTTTACCCTGAAGAGAAAGATAAACTAACAACTTTTGAAAAACAACTTTTTATGTTAAAAGAAAGAGATAATTTTGATGTATATTTTTATGGTGATGATGTTGAAACAAAAAGACGAAAATTGGTAAATATGTTTGAGTTTAGTGATAATCCATATAAGAAAGTAATTATATCTTTTATAAAGAACTATCGAGTAAGGTTTTTTCAAAAATTTGATAGTGTTTCAGATTGTCTCCATAATAAAGAGTTAATGAATAGAATTACATACCGTGAAAATATATTAATCTTAAATTATAGCTATTACAAGAAATCATATCCTGATAAAGTTTTATTCAAATACATTATGTATGAGTTTCTCATTAATTTTATTGGAAAAGATATTAGATATTTAAATCTTAACGAGTTGCAAGAACATTTAAATGAAATATTTGATAGGGAACAAGATTAAACATTGAACAAATATTTATAATATTAAATTATTATAAATCTTTGGTAAAGCGTGTGAGGTGGGCAAAACTACTTAAAGGGAAAACGTCTTAGAATGGTAAGAGAGAATGAGCGAGGTAAGCAATACTGAGATACAGACCCTGACGCAGAATAACCCATTCCCCAAACTGAAAAAAGAAATTGACAGTATTATTTCAATGGCAGGTCATAGTTATATAAGTGGAACAGATAAAGTTTTGTATCACAGCAAAAGAATGGATTATTACTGCTTATGTAAATTCATTTTAAAAGAACCCAACCAATTAACAATATTAAAAGACTTATATGAAAACATACATAATGAAGGCACATTCAAAGAAGTAATTGATACACAAATAAAAGAAGAAGTGTTCGCGTATAAACGATGTAATCATAAGCGTAAAACATTATTTCAGGAAGTCCTTTATAGAATGATAATCACCTTTTATGAAAAGGATAAAAATAGTCATAATGAAGAATTGTTAAAGCATATTTTGCAAAGGTTAAAATTACTTGATAACGAAGAATTCAATTTCACTATTGATATTGATAAAGCAATTGAACGCTACAATAACATAGAGTATCATAATAAAATGGAAACACTTAAAAAAGAAATGGGCGATAAATTCAAAACAATAGAACTATTTAGCACTATCAAAACAAAATAAACAAAAATTTATAATAGTAAATTATTATAAATCTTTGGTAAAGCGTGTGAGGTGGGCTAGTCCTAGAAAACGGTTGAGGCGATATGATGAAGGATGAAAACGAGTGAGGGGACGATGTTGAGAAATGAAAAAAATGAATTTATAGATACTTAAACTTTTATTGAGATGAGAAACGGATGAGGTGACGATGTTGATGATGGGAGGAAGGAAGGAATGAAAGAGCGGGACAAAACAATGATAACGGATAAGGCGACGATGATGATGAAAACGAAGCAGGGGGACATGTAAGAGAACGGATGAGGTGGCTATATAGGGTAGGGCAAGGTCTCAGAACCAACACCCCAGCCCCAGCCCAGCAACACCTCAGAACCAGCCTTTTACCAATTTTTTAGGGGGGGGGGGGGGGGAAAGGGGGGGGAGGGAACTGCGCCTCTTGATGGACAAGGGGATCTTCAGGGAGCCGATTCCCACGGAGGGATCTGCCAGCGCCATCAGGGCTTGGAAGGAGCTGTCGATCAAGGAAGGCCCCAGCAGGAAGCCGACCTCTGTACCTGGCGTCATTGCACTTTGATGCTCTTTCTGACAGGCCTCTGTGTTCCATGACGGCATATGTCGGCATGTGCCGGCGCACCGTCCCTCTCCATCTCCAGCCGCGCGAAGCCCTTGCGCTCACTCTTCTGAACTTGCACCTCCGCCAAGGGCCAAGGGCCAAGTCACGACAAAGCTTGAGCCGTTCTCACCAGGGCTCTCAAGGGCTCTCAAGGGCTCTCAAGGGCTCTCGGCACTCGGCCAGATCTCTCTGTGTAGCTCCCCCTGCGCCGCCTGCCGTACGCAGCGGAAACGTCGCTGTAGTGGGAGGCCGCTCTTCACGCCAAACGAGTACATGAGGTCCACATCCACCTGCCAAACACAGCCGCAACAAAACAACCTTTTGCAAAGCATGTTGCAATTCGTCCGTTTCCGACCAGACTTGCTAGCTTATGCTTCGCTGCCTTGCAACTCACTCTTGCACTCTTCCTTCTCCCTACTCACGTGCGCAAGCAAAGAGGGATCAGTATAGCTCCGAAGCCCTTTAGACGACTTTTCAGGAATGATGGAGGTGAACTGCAGAAATAGGGCTTTTCATGTTAAATGCTTCGAAGCTCCAGACGCTTGCAAAACCCACTGCCCGAATGACTGGCCGCCAGTCAAGAGGCGGTAGAAGAGCACCATCAGCATCAGCTGGGTCGCTGTCTCGTCACGTGGCCCCCGAAGCTCCAGGCCTTTGCAAAACCCACTGCCCCAATGACTGGGCGCCATTCAAGAGGCGGTAGAAGAGCATCATCAGCATCAGCTGGGTCGCTGTCTCGTCACGTGGCCCCCGAAGCTCCAGGCCTTTGCAAAACCCACTGCCCCAATGATTGGGCGCCATTCAAGAGGCGGTAGAAGAGCATCATCAGCAGCAGCTGGGTCGCTGTCTCGTCACGTGGCCCACGAAGCTCCAGGCCTTTGCAAAACCCACTGCGCGAATGACTGGGCGCCATTCAAGAGGCGATAGAAGAGCATCATGAGCATCAGCTGGGTCGTGTTCTCGTCACGTTGCCCCCGAAGCTCCAGGCCCTTGCAAAACCCACTGCGCGAATGACTGGGCGCCATTCAAGAGCGGTAGAAGAGCATCATGAGCATCAGCTGGATCGTTTTCTCGTCACGTGGCCCCCGAAGCTCCAGGCCCTTGCAACACCCACTGCCCGAATGACGGGGCGCCATTCAAGAGGCGGGAGAAGAGCATCATGAGCATCAGCTGGGTTGTTTTCTCGTCACGTGGCCCCCGAATCTCCAGACGCTTGCAAAACCCACTGGCCGAATGACTGGGAGCCATTAAACAGGCGGGAGAAGAGCATCATCAGCGTCAGCTGGGTTCTCGTCACGCGGCCCCCGAAGCTCCAGGCCCTTGCAAAACCCACTGCCCGAATGACTGGGCGCCATTCAAGAGGCGGGAGAAAAGCATCATGAGCATCAGTTGGGTCGTTTTCTCGTCACGTGGCCCCGAATCTCCAGACCCTTGCAAAACCCACTGCCCCAATGACTGGGCGCCGTTCAAGAGGCGGTAGAAGAGCATCATCAGCATCAGCTGGGTTGTTTTCTCGTCACGTGGCCCCCGAAGCTCCAGACGCTTGCAAAACCCACTGCCCCAATGACTGGGCGCCATTCAAGAGGCGGGAGAAGAGCATCATGAGCATCACCTGGATCGTTTTCTCGTCACGTGGCCCCCGAATGACTGGGCGCGATTCAAGAGGCGGGAGAAGAGCATCATCAGCATCAGCTGGGTCGTTTTCTCGTCACGTGGCCCCCGAAGCTCCAGACGCTTGCAAAACCCACTGCCCGAATGACAGAAGAGCATCGTGAGCGTCGGCTGGGTCGTTTTCCCGTCACGTGGCCCCCGAAGCTCCAGACACTTGCAAAACCCTCTGCCCGAATGACTGGGCGCCTACAAGCACAGTGCTGAAATGTCACGATCATTCGCTGCATTCGGTCATGTGGGGCTTCACCCACAGGTCGAAGCATCCAGCGCCGAGGGCTCTGCTGCTGCCCACGCCACGCAGATGAGACTTCTGTTAAAGGGCGACAAGAAGGGGGTGCTAAGGTGAACATGGAAACACAAAACCAGGCAGATGCCGGCAGAACACGGTGAGCGAATCTGCCTCCTCTGGGCAGCTCTGCCGGAGCTGTGTCAGGTCCTGTTTGTCCATCTCAGCGAGCGTCGTCCAGCCGCCCTTTTGCTGGATGAGGCTCGCCTGGCACGTGAGACGCCTACGAAAATCTTCTGGAGTTCAAGAGGGAAGCTGGGAGGAGCTCTTCTGAGGCTGACCTTTGCCAGCCCTGGCCTCCACGTGGGTGGACACGATGAGGTCTTCTGGGTCCTCGCCCACCGCGCTCTCCACCTCAGGAGAGAGAGAGAGAGAGAGAGAGAGAGAGAGAGAGAGACAAGAGAAAGGACAAACAGAGACAGAGAAAGAGAAGTTATGAGAGAGGCGCAACAATTGTCATCGACATGAGGATGAGAAAGAAAGAAGGGCCACGCAAAGAGGTTTGAGAGAACATGCATATGCTTGAATTAAAAAAAACACATTACACACCCTTCCCCTCTCCGTGCAAGAAAAGACTACCTCGGGAGAAAGGGGGAAGGGAGACTCAGGGAGCGGCCTCCAGGCGCCCGTCCTCCCAGATCAGGAGCCGCAGCTCCACGGGCTCCTCTGACTCACGATACAGCGATGTCAATTAAACTCCTCTCAGATCACCCACCCCTTCTTGAAAGGGCTCCTTTTTTTTCGTGTGCTCTTTCGGGGAGGGCTCTCTCACTTCTTGCTTTGCTCCACGCTCCGATCTTGCCTCCAGCTGGCCAGACTGCGAGAGGCGGAGGACCAGGGGCTTGGCAAAGCCCAGGCTTTCGATCCACCAGGCCTCCTGCAAAGGCTCCCCGACAAAAAGAGGAGTGTTTTCTCGAGTAAGAACCCGTCTTCTCCCTGAAGAAGGCCTGCTGTCCGAGGTGTGCCCGTACACCTGCAAGGATCATCTCCAGGTAACAGGCGCCGGGCACCACCACCTGGCAAAGAAAGAAGCCGAATCCAACCGAGAGAAGCGGAGGCTGCGCGAGCCCTCGCCTCACCGTGAACAATGTGGTGGGACAGAAGCTCCAGCACGTGGCCGTCGATGGGGCCTCCGATGCATTTAGGGGCTTTAGGGTCGCTTTTTAAGAGGGGCTGCTCTCCATCCGCATCCGCATCACGGGGCCCCGGCAGCTCAGGACGTGGACCCCGTCCTCTCTCTTGGCCTTCTGACGGATCAAGGGATGCGTGGGCTCCCGCCACCCAAAGCGCTCCCGGCCTCAAGGAAGGACGAGCACATTGAGAGTACATTTGAGAGTACATTGAGAGCGCATTGAGAATACATGGAGAGTGCATTCTGGGACCCAGGCCCAGGTCGTTGAGTGGCTGCCGCACCTGGAGAGCCCCACGTTCTCAGCTTGACCCGTGCTTTGGGGCTGTCCGAGCGAAGGAAGAAGCAAGAAGAAACTAGCGGCTGATGGTTCTTCCTGCGAGCGGTGCTTCGTTACTGCGGGTCTTCTTCTTTGGCTTCGTTCCTGCCTTCGCTCCTTCTCTTGGCTCTCTCTTTCCGGCCTTATCCTGCAGCTTCGGCTTCAGCACCACATGGCCGTTCGTGCCACCGAAGCCTCAACGACAACACGCTGCATGTAAATGGCAGGGTTCAGCATGCCCCTCACTCTCCAAACGTTGGGCTGCCACGAACTACGCAGCTGCTTTGAGACGACATTGTCTTCAGTAGAGGGGGCAAGGGGAGGAGGGGCGCGTGATTTTGGGGATCACGACTGCACCAAGCTATCGCAGGCCCATCACTGCAAGAACTTCTTCACTGAACATGCGCTGCTAAAAGCTCGCTCCCGCGCCTTCACCAACTGTTGGAAGAAGGTTTTCATTTGTAGACTACTATAATTTACCAACTGTTGGAAGAAGGTTTTCATTTCTAGACTACTCATTTTCGAAGTCCAGGAAAAACAACCTGACCCCAATTCTTCTGAAGTCGGTCGCGGCCACGGGCATTCAAAAGGCACGGAAAGCGAGAAGAAAAACGCTACTAAGGTCTCCTGCCCGGAAGCCAAAGGAGCTTACGGAGGCCGCAGGCGACGTTGCCTGCCATGGCTCTCACTTTCACAGAAGCTTTCATACACACTGCAACGCATTACAAGGCATTGCACGGCATTGCAAGGCGCCGGCTATCCCCGGCTGGTGCCTGTCCAGCTAGGGAGCTGGAGTTCACGAAGAGAGCAGCGAAGTCGTGCGCATCCTGAAGCGTCGTGCACATGATCGCCAAATTTAAAGCACACATGCCAAATTCAATTCGTGCTGTAGACTTGCCGCAGAAGCTCTGCAGGTGCAACAAGCTCTGCTCGTCTTTCGTGGGTGCTCTCTGTTTCTGTGCGTTCCTTGATTCTTTGGTCTCTTGTGTGTTTTCCTTACGAGTAGGGGGTTCTGTGCGTTTCTGTTCCCTGCAGGCCTCGGCGATGTGTGCATTGAGGCGGCGGAGGTGGAGGTTCGACGCGATGGCCGGGACTGGCCGCTGCAGCTGTGAGGCCTCAGGAAAGACCCGATTACGTATACCTCCCCGCCCCTTTCTGCGCCCCTTGCTCTGACCTCTGACTGCTTTGGTGAATCGCTGGGCTCGCAGCCAGCTTCAGGAGCCCGGCCATGCCGGCGCCCCCTTCCAAGTGGCCCAGGTTGGACTTGATGGCGCCCAGCACCACGGGAGTGCCACGTCCCGACTGTGGCTGCAAGGCGGCGCGCAGGGCCCCCGTCTCGATGGGATCCCCGAGCTCCGTGCCGGTGCCGTGGGTCTCCACCTGCTTTCAGGGATTGTTGAAGTTGAGGGCCGGGGATCACGCTAGCCTGCCCCTACACTGAGCCCTCTGGACATTTCGGTCACAGTACGCGCGTGCGCCGAGCACGAAGACATGTGGCCTGCCCCACTTGTTCTGGCTGCAGGCCCGCTTCCGACAGCGCCACCTGGATGACCGCCTTCTGTGAGGGTCCGTTCGGAGACGTGAGGTTGGCACTGCGGCCGTCTTGGTTCAGGGCACTCCCAGCGAAGGCTGCCACGGGCGAAGCTGCGGAGGCTGTGCCAGATGGACCCAGGATCTGAGCCCCGCAGCCCTCTCCCCGGGTGTAGCCACTAGCGGATGCATCGAAGGTGTGGCACCTGCCATCGGCAGAAAGCATGCGCGCCTGACAGCAAGCAATGAAGGTTTGGGGCAGGAGCAACATGTTCACGCCGCAGACGGCCGCGAGCTCACAGCGACCTCTACGTATCGTTGCGGCCGCTGTGTCAGCAGCCACGAGAGATGAGGAGCATGCAGTATCGACCGTGGCACTTGGCCCCTTCAAGCCCAAGCTGTAGGAGATGCGGTTGGAGGAGATTGAGGCAGAGCCACCGGTCGCAGCGAATGGACCCGCATGAGCTGCCGAGAGCATTCGGTTCCAATCACTCTTGTCCTGGCCAACGAACACGCCGGCGCCCAAGCCCATGAGCTGAGCCCTCGAATAGCCAGAGTCACCAAAGGCACCAAACGAGGTTTCCAGCAAATGGCGCTGTTGGGGGTCCATGGCTTCTGCCTCCACCTTGCCGATTCCGAAGAACTGCGCGGCAAAGAGCTCCACGCCTTTCGGAGGGGCTGCCAGGGTCGAAGCGGCTACATACGTACCATATGTGAAAGAAGCACGAGCACCCGAAACACCTAAGAGCACTTGCAAGTCCGCTCCCATGGAAAGACATGTAACATAGTAGTGATAAAGACAGGTCGAAAACCTCCACGCCTTCGATAAAGGCCGCATGCCGGACGTACATCTCCAAGCCAGTTGGAGCCTCGGCATCGTAGTACTCCTCCACGTCCCAGCGGGAGTAGGGCATCTCCGAGATGCAATCCGTTCCATACCACAAGCTGCAAACCAGCCCACCGAAAGGCGTGCCCGGCGCCGGAAGTGCACACGCCGCGCCCCGCACTTCTAACGCCTCAAGGCTTTCGAGGTTCTTGGTGGCCGTCGAAGGGGAGGGTACCTGCAAAGCCGGAGCCGGAGACGCGGCAGTCCCCCCCAGCTCTTCTGAGATGTGCTGCGCGATGGCCTTTCGAGGAGAGCACGGGGGTGCATTTTCAGCCCAGGCTTCAGGTTACCAGGTTGGAGCGAGGAGGAGCTATGGCAGCCCCTGACTCTCAAGACTGACGTCAGCATTATTGGGACCTGGATCCCAGGGATCGTGATGCCACTGATTTGACTCGGAGACCCGACTTGGACCCGGCTTAAAACCCCCAGCGCATCCCAGTGCGCCTTCAGTGTGGGGTGGTCGAACATCAAGGTGCTGGGGAGGCGAACGGACCGGAACTCGGTGGAGATCTTGCCGCGGAACTCCACTGCCGAGAGGGAGTCGATGCCGGCCTTTGAAAACGAAGACAAACACGCAAAGTGAAACTCATGTTTTTTTGGCGTGTTGCGTGCCCTCCTCCTCCTCCTCATCATCATTATCATTCCTTTGTAAACTGATTTGCCTTCTTCTCATCCCCCTCCCAAAGGATCGCCCAACTCCTTTCTCTCCCTTCTTTCTGACTTGTTTCTTTTCTTTCTGCGCTATTCATTTTCCTGTTTCCTGGGGCTAGAAGGCCGAAGCTTCTGGGCGACTTGCCCGCTCCGGGTGTTCGGGCTCTCTTAGTTGGGACTTCAACTCCTGAGCGTATTACCCCCTGAACAACCGTCCCCAACAATCCTTATCCGCTGCTCGTCGTCTTCTCTCGCTCCCTATAACTCTCTTTCTCGGCTTGCGGGTCGTTGCTTCTTTCGCTTCCATGCTAGCTTGAAACAGCGATGGCGACAGCGGCGTCTCCTCCATCAGCGGGGTGTCCTCCTGGATCTCCAGGTGCATGGACGAAGCAGCTTCCTGAATGGCGACCAAGACCTGTTTCTCCCTCTCCGAGGCCGGCAGGTGCGCCAAGTGCGACTGCTCAACGGCCGTGGACGCTGCGGCTACCTGCAAGACACAAAGGGTCAAAGGGGGGGTAGAAAAGAAACAAAACAAAACACGCAGGGGGAATGGCTCAAGTTAGCTGTAGAGAAGCCGTGCAAGAACTCTCTGTGGCATCACTTACACCCCCAGTTGCCACTCACACCCTGGGCCCCCGTCCACGCCTGGGTCTCCTTAAAGTCCTGAAGCATCGGGGCGAGGCCGGCAGACTGCCGGAAGTAGGCAGACCAGTCGGCCCTCGCCAGCGTTATTGGTGTCCAGCTCAGGGGCTGCGGGGACATCAGCAGCCGCAGCGCGCTCGTCACCTGAAAATCCCGAAAGGGCTAAAAACCTCGAAACCGAGAACGGGGTGGGAACGGGCCATGGACCACGGCGAGCCTGCGCCAGCGGCAGCGAGCTGAGCGCGGTGCTCTTGAGCTCCGAGGGCGAGTGGCTCCCCTCTCAAAGAAACAAACTCAACTCGATCGTCAGGGGTGTAGAGTCAGGGGTTTCAGAAGTGATTCAGGGGCCGCTGTTACGGTACCAGATGGGTCACGGCACACCGTTCAAGAACATGCAGACTCTCTCTGGGCGGTGCTCATACTTCTCAGGGTGTTGGGTGGTGCCAGCCCTCGTGCAGAGAATGCCGTAAGGGGCCGACCGCAGCCATGCCAACATCTGCAACGGGCCCAAAGCGAACACTGACGGCGCCGACTCCCCTGTCAGAGTCAGCTGTCATCGGCACAAGATGTGTCAACACGTCAAGCAAAACTTCAGCGCTGACTTCAACGCTTCTGTGTGCGAGAGCTTCTTCTGGCGACTCTCTGAGGCAGCTGCTGAGTCTTCCGCCAGGCAGCCAAGGCGTCCAAGTAGGCATTAGCTGCAGCCTCAAAAGCTCTCTCTGGCATCGCACCCCTCTTCCTTGCGCCACGACATTTCAGCACAGCCGCCACAGTGTTCACCACAGGTCTGAGTGCCCCGGCATAGGCAGCACCGCCGGAAAGGCCGAGGAAGGCAGAGACCTGTCAGAGCGGAGCATCTGTCAGCTCTTCACAAAGCCCTCAATCTCTTGAGCCCGGGGCCGAGGAGAAGAGCACCAGCCGCTCGCTCAGGGACTGCACGTGCCAGGCCTCGGCTCGGCTCGGCGCTACGAAATCCTGCAGGCCTCTGCTCTCTCTCTGTCCCTTCTGAATCGTTGAGCGTTCCTTGCCGGGTCCCCAGCACCATTGGCTTTGGGGCCCATGGTCGCATCCAGCCTGCGCTGTTCAACGTTGCGCAGCTCTCGCGGTTCTCATCACCTCCCGCACTCCCACTCCAAGGGCGCGCCCCCTCCCCCCCCCTCCGTCCTCGAGGAGGTGAGATCCTTCAGCACGCAGCGATCGAGCACTCCGGCCTTGGAGCTCGACCCGAGCCCGAGAGACTTGCCACAGCCACGCAGCCATCCCCGCCCTTCACAGCCAGAGGCTGAGGTCGAGGCCGCGTGGATCACTGCCTGCAGCTCCCCGTTCAGCCTGTGAAAGATGGGTATGGACTAACAATTCGCACCAGTTGAAACGAATGAAAAGGCAGAAGGGCCTCTCGGCCATGGCGGCGACCTCCTCACCGCGGCTCACGTCACACTTCTGGACCTCCACCACCTCGGCACAAAGGGGCCGACACGAGCGGCAAAAACTATTGAAAGGGGCTCAGCGGTCGCTGTCTCGGACTGAGCCCCGGGGCTGCCTTTGACAGCTCCAGCCGCGCCAGGGCCGCAGGGTTCGCTGCGCGGCCGCTGCGCGAGGCCAGCACCAGCCTGAGAATCCCCAAGCGTGTTGCGGCACGCTGAAACAACAAGTTCAACTTAACTCGTGCCCAACGCCGCGAGCTGCAGCCGCATGCAGCTGCATCCATCATGAACCTACGACTATGAACCTGAGGGTAGTTGAGACACACTGGGAGCCCGGCGCTTTAGCTCCCAGCTCGGCCAGCTGCTGCGCTGCGAGCAAGCCAAGGCCTGGAAAAGGGAAGAAATGCTGAAAGAAATGGAGGTGGGGGGGGGGGGGGGGGGGGGGGGGGGGCAAACTGCGGTTCTGCAATGTCCGGCACGCCTCCCAGGCCGCCGGTGACCAGCACGGGGCCCGTAAAGTGGCTTTGGCCCTGCAGCATGTCCCGGGTCTGCAGCGCGGTGCAGGCCACCGTGCTGCTGCGCTGGAGGCGGGGCGCCTCTCTGGAGAAGATGAGAGAAGCAGAACTCAGAACAAACAACACGTTAATGTGTGAACAGAAGCAAAAATCGCGCGACCATGGACCGCAACTAGCTCCGAGGAGAGCCTCGGCTTTGCCTTGTCTAATGGAGAGCTCCATCTCCGGACCCGAGAGGAGCTGTCGAAGGGCCCCAGCCTGTAGCTGAAAAACCGCATCTCAGAGATGGGGAAAAATGGCGGAAGTGCTACTGGACGAAGAACTCAGAGCCAAATTGTCTTCTCTGGCTCCCTTGGCTTGGGCGCCGGCGGCCGCCGCCGACTCCTGCTCGCAGCACTCCAGAAGCCGGATCTCCGACCGCATCTCCAACCGCGCCTCGGCAAGAGAGAGAGAGAAAGAGAGAGAAAGAGAGAGAAAGAGAGAGAGAAAGAGGGGAAGCGTCCGTTGATGCGCTGTGGCCCCCGGGCGGATCGGGCCAAACCCCAGAGGGCCTGGGTTGACTCCATGCCTTTGCCCTGGCAGAGCGCCACTGAGAGCCACGGCAGCAGGAGCAGCACATCGGACCTTGAGTACGGTCACGACGACCGCTGTCTCAACCGGGGTGATCTGAAGCGCTTGGAGGAAGTTCAGCAACTGAACCAGAGGCTGCTCGGGCACCTCACACACGCTTCTCCTGCCCTCAAACATCACCACAAGCCGAACGTCCAGGCCAAGGCACCTCGCCGCAGCTGCCGACGAAAACGGCTGTCTTGGCTTGCGTCTCGGCCAAGGCCTCTGCGATCTGATCACGGCCTCCCGAAAGCTCGCGTAGGCTGTCAAGTGCTTTGTAGTCAAGTGGCTAAAGTGACTAAAGTGGCTAAAGCAAAGAAATCCTGAAGTGCTTCCCGACAATGCTTCCCGACGCAGTGCCACCGCGGCCTTTTGTCCCTTCGAGGCTGCCCACGGCTGTGGGTGCCAGTGCATCAAACACTGGTCCGCAACCAACGAGGAACAGCTGGCCTTCGACAGGAATTGGCAAGCAGGTCTAGCCAGTCTTGCGTCCCTCACGAACTCACATGAATGCGCCTGGCGGCTGCTGATCGGCTTTCTCGGCCGACTGCCACACTTCATCGAAGCAGATTTCCTGGCAGGGCACAAGACCATGGAAAGGCACCACCACGTGAGCACCACGTGGCGGAAGCCTTGATCCACTGCCGGTAGGGCTGCAGCTGTCGGCGTGAGTAGCTGGCAGTTGGACGACGCGGCCTCTCGCCTGGCTCGCCTTCCGTGCTTTGGTAGACTTCCAAGATGGCCTGGACGACATGCCAGCACGCGAAGTGGATTAAAATTTCAAAAACAAGTATCGCAGGCAACTCCGGCAGTTCAATCCAGGAGTGAGAGCTTCCGTGTAAGCTCCTGTGGGCAAAAACTGAGGACTCTGGGCCGCGCACGTGGCCATTGGTGCCCGAGAAGCCGAAGGAGGACACGGCCGCCCTTGGCTCAGCGCCCGTCGCGTTGAGGAGCTCGGTGGGCGCGAAGCCGAAGTTGGAGAGCTCCACGTTGTGGTTCAGCCTCCAAGACTGGAACAAAAGCATTTCAAAAAAGCACAGAACAGCACAGACCAGGAAGAGAGAGCACTTGCGGAGAATTGCGCAGCACGACGCGCTGAGGCCACAGCTGCTTGAGCCACAAGAGGGGCGTCACCTGGGCCTTTTGCAACAGAAGGACCTCGGGAAAGCTCTGTCACCTTCTGAGCGGGCAAAGCCCGGTGCTCGGACAATGCTGGAGACAGACTCTCCTGGGCCCACGCCGCTTTGCTGAGGCCAGCAACGCCCGCAGCTCCTTCGGCTTGAAATTGTGAGTGCCCCATGCGATCTAAAGCTACACACAGTTGATATCACAGTTGCACATGTTGCACATCCGGGATCTGACTTTCGTCCTTCCAGGTGTCCCAAGTTCGTTTTGCCGGCAGCTAGCACCATCGGCAGGTCCCTGCCCTTGCCGTAGACCGCTTTCTGAGCTCCGACCTGCGCAACACACAAAAAAGACTCACAAAGAAGCACCAAAACCCCCCCCTCCCCCACATTGGGGCAGAGAGCGTGGGAGCGGGGCAGTTCGGGGCCTCGATGGGATCCCCGAGCGCCGTGCCCGTGCCGTGGCACTCCAAGCAACCCAGAGCCTTCAGCTGAAAACATGCTTCTGAGATTGAAAATTTTCAGAAGACCGTTTCGAACGTGTTTCGTGATTCCTCAAGACTCTAGATATGCTCATGAGGTCGCCGCCTCCGGCCGTGTAGCCCGCTCGGCCAGGGCCGCACGGATCACACGCCTTTGGACAGGCGCAAGCGGCGCAGGTTCGTGGACATTAACGATTCCATCGAGTCCCCGACTGCTGAGCCGTGCCATTGGGTGCCGTGATGGTCGCTGCACGGCCGTCGTGGTTTGTGGCCTTCCCGCACGAAGTGCACGGCTGGATGCTGCTGCGCCCTGCAAGCAAGCGAGCAGACAAAGGTTAGGCCCGCACCACACCGCCCAGAAGCGCGGCTGGCGCAGCGGCTGCGTCTGCCATCGCCACGTAGACAGAGCCTCACAAGCCCTTATATGCCCGAATCTTGAGAGACGGACGAAGGGGTTCACCAAACTATCCAAACCGCGGACGCCTCAATCCACTAAGCCCACTGCCCATGCCCTCACCCCGTGCGAAGCCGTCGGCCGAGGTGTCGAAGGTCTTGCAGTTGCCGTCCATGGCGAGCCCTCGCATCTTGGCGAAGCCGACCTAGATGTCCCATCTCTCACTTGGAGAGCTCAATGAAAACCTTCAATGAAAACCTCATGTCTGCCTAGGGGGTGTTTTGACTCAGGGAGCACTCCCTGAGAGCTTGCGAGTTTCGAGGGCCGTGCCCAGATGGCGGCTGAAAGCTGCAGGTTCACTCCACTGGCCGCAGCGGATCGGCCTCAGTGGCTTCCCGACCACGCCTGCTTATGCTTTCTTTCGCATCGGCTTGTGGCTTGTCGATCGGATCTACCTTTACCTTAAGTTGCAGCTCTTTCTCTCGCCCTCGCGTTCCCTCCGCTGGGATCCAGGCACCGCCCCAGCCGTATGGCTTGGCTGGCACAGTCCAGGGCTACGACCTCACAACACGCGGTTACAGCGCACGCGTTTGCAGGAGGCAAAGTTGCAATCCTTGCTTGCGTGCTGTGAGTTTACAGCAAAGCATGGGGCCGGGGGCTGAGCTGTTGCGGAGCAGGCCGTGTCGACGGTGAAGCAGGGCCCACGCAGGGAAAGCGTGTGGGACACGCGTCCAGAGAGCCCCGAGTAAGCGTAGCCTCAGTGAACGGGGCCAGCAAGTGAGACAGCGATTCTCAGCAGCTGACGCTGAGCGCCACACCAATGTTTGTGAAGGGACCAAAGGCAGGAATATCGGGCGATATTCCACCGAGCGTGGCGCAACCAACATAGATGCCACACTCCAGTCCGTTCATCGTTTCTTTCGTCAAGCCTTGCAAGGAAACTCAAGAACAACTTGAACATGTCTCCAATTGACGATTCAAAAAACAGAGTGCAACTCTTAGGTTCCCTGCCTGCAGCATACATGCTGTCGTACGTGATCTCCAACGTAAGCCACTGGTGCGGGTCCTTAGGGCCGCAGGGTGCTTTCCGTTTCTCTTTACAAGCACACGCACCCCAAACTCGCAACGCCGGGCTCCCCGACCATGCCGCGCTGCTCCATCTCGCTGAGTCCGAAGAACTCGCCGTCGAACTGCTCGATCCCCAGGATGAAGTGCCCGAGCCTCCCATGCTCTTCCCCCTTCATCCCCCGGCTCTGTTGGACGTTTTTCATGTTCTTTATGCCAGACTTGGCCATCTCTGGCCTGACATAGGTCTTGCCCGGCGTGTCAACGTCCGGATCGAAGAACTCGTCCATGTCCCAGCCTGTTGGATTCTGTCGCTGGAGAGAGAAGCTTCTCAAAAAATCATCCTAAAACTCTTCGGCGGAATGGCAAACACAGATTCTGCGCAGGCGAGGTGCGTTCGGGCGGTAAGTCGGCGGTGGTATCCAGTCCCGAAGACAAGGTGCGCCAGAAGTCGCCTCTGCACATCCCAAAAGACGCGACATCTGAGAAACTTCGAGGAAGCTGTTAGGTCCCTGGGCCTGTTTGCCAACACGTACACTCTCGATGGAATCAGCCTTCCTCCCACAAAGCTCTTCTCTTGATGTGCCTGGATGGTTGGAGAGGCTGCCGGGGAAGCGCCCACTGTGCCCGGCCACGGCCAGCTGGCTACCGACAGCTCCAGCCTGCCAGGCCACTGCGAGTGCAAAGAGTTGTGCCCCGTGCCAGGGCCCGGCAGGGGGCATGCGGAAGCTTGGGCAGCACACGCCTGCACCGCAACCAGCTCCTCCTCTTCAGCCGGCCCCACCTGTTTACCCATGCGGCCCATGCATCACACGGTTTAGGGTTTAGGATGTAGGGTGCGCGTTCTCCACGTCTACGACTACCTCTATGTGTAGGTCCATCTCTGCGTGTCTTCCCTGACCCCCTGAGGCCTGGGACCAAATGTAGTCCACCAGGTCTGGTACGGTTGGGTAGTCGAACATCAGTGTCGGGGTCAGGTTGATGCCGTCCACGGAGGCCTGCTACGGTGCGACACAGCGACAGAAAACGCAAAAACCTTCACACTGGCTGACAAAGAGAGCGAAGCACGCTTGAGGCTCAAGCTTCGCTCTCAAAGCAGCTTCGCTTCGCTGCCTGGAGGCGGTTGCGGAATTCGACGCCGGCCAGGGAGTCGAGGCCCAGCTCCATCAAGGGGGTGTTGATGTCAAAGTCATCGGTGCCCAACGCATCGGTCAAGGAGTCCACGACCAGGGACCGAACATCCTCGATGCTGTAGTTGCTCATCTCCCTGCTGCTCTTGGTGACACTGAACTTGCTCAGGAAGGCCGGCACGCGAGGCATCTGGCCCAGAAGCGCACTCCACTTGAAGCGGGCCACGGCCAGGACGCCACTCCGCAAGCTGCTTTGGGATGCCAGAATGGCCTGCATGGCCTCCAAACCCTTCGCGGGGCTCAGCCGCGCGATGCTGGACTCCGAGGTGTTCGCCCGCGCCGCCATCCCCTCTGCCCAGGGTCCCCACTGAACACTCACGGCCGGCCGCCCGTTCTCCCGGGCGTGCGCTGCAAAGGAGTCCATGAAGGCGTTGCCCGCGCTGTAGTTGCCCTGGGCAGGCGTTCCGAGCAGAGCTGCCACAGAGGAAAAGAGGACAAAGAACTCCAAGTCCTTGCCGTCCTTGCCAAGGCCGTCGAGGGCTTGGCTGAGATTCAAGGTCCCGTTGATCTTTGGGCCCAGCACTCGCTCGAAGTGTTCTTTTGTGAGGTCTGTGATCATGTTGTCCTCCAAGACTCCCGCAGCGTGGAGGATGCCCCGGACGCGGCCGCTTTGTCCGCTTTTTGCCAGTGCCCGCAGCAGCCGCTCCGTGTCGGAGGCCGACGTGATGTCCGCTTTGTGGACCGAAACTTTCGAGGCCAAGCGCCGGAAGGCAACTTTGCAGTCATCCGGCGGGCGCCCGCTTCGAGACACCAGTGCCACATCGACCTTGTGCTCCAGAAGCCAGCTTGCGAAACTCAAGCCTAGGGCCCCCAGACCTCCCGTGATCACAGAGGTGCCTCGGCCCTCCTGGGGAGACCAGTCGGAAGGTGAAGCAGGCTCCAGGCGAGCCTCCTCCAAACGAGGCACCAGCAGCAGCGCCTTCTCTCCCTTCTCCCCCTTCACTCGAAGTGCCCGTTCGGCCTCGGAAGCCGACGTTGAGCCCGAGGTGAGGTGCGCTTGGAGGGCCTTCAGCGCAGTGGGGCCTTCCAGGTCCACAGCGAAGATCTGGAGGTTCAGGAGCTCGTTCCGGGCGGTCCGGGCCAAGCCCCAGATGGCCGAGTGTAGAGGCAGCACTTGGCCTGAGAAGTCCCCGGCTTGGGTCCACTGGCAGCGGACCGTCGCCAGCCACAGCTCCGGCAGGTCCCCTTTCTTCTTCGCCAGCTTCTGCAGCAAACCCAGGACCGCCATCAAACCTTCGAGAACGGACCCGTGATTGCTGCTGCCGAAAACAAGCAAGATGCGGGAGAATCGGTTCGAGAGGTCAGCCTCATCGATCTCATGAAGTGCGTCCAGCATCAACGTGCATTCGGGCGGAGTGTCCAGCGTGCTCAGCGCACGGTGCAGGTCCGAGGTGTCTGCAACAGCTAGAAGCTTCGACGTGCTCGAGGAGTCTGCCGAGTCAACGGACCACTCTGACCACTCCACATCATAGATCTTCTGGTCCTCCTTCCCTCCCTGTGCCGCGATGGCCATCTGGATCTGTTCCGGCTTCACAGCCCGGAAGACCACATCCTCCATGGACATCAGCAGCGCACCGTCATCTGCAAGCACCGACACATTAAAGGTCTGGGAGGCTTCCAAGGACTCTGTAACGCACAGATGTACCCAGTAGTTCGACAGCTTGGAGAAGTTCTCTTGACGTATCACGGACACCTTGCCCACGCCACCGAAAATCTTCAGGCCACTCACATTTTTCCCGATGGATGCGGTCGCCAGAATATGGATCGTGCCATCCAAGAGTGCCGGGTGCATGATGTACCCAACGTTCTTGACGTGTGGGTTCAGCTGCAGACGCGCCAAGACCTCTGACCCTGCCTCACCTTCGTGTCGCCACAGCTCCCGCGCAACTTGGAACATCGGACCGAGGTACAGGCCGACGGAGTGGATGGCCTCGTAAACGACCTTGGTCTCCACAACCTCCGTGATGCGGTGGCGCAGAGCGGCCAGGTCCACATGGGACGTGCTGCCATTGGCCAAGGCCGCGCTCTTTGCCCCGCTTGCCCCGTGGTCCAGGGAGGCCTCGACGTGCACCGTGGTTTTGCCTTGGGCGTTGGTGCTCTGGATCTCGAAGCGGGTGTTGCTCTTCAACACGAACCGCATGCTCGGCGCGGGCTCCTCCGACGCAAAGCGATCAGGGACCACAAATGGGAAGACCATCGTCACATCGCGGAGCTGAGTCTTGTGGCCGAAGAGCTTTCGGGTGGCCTCCAGCGCCATTTCCACGTAGACGACGCCGGGGGTCACAATGGATCCGAAGACGACGTGGTGTGACACCGTGTCATAGACGTCTGAGGACATCGGCACTTCAAAGCTCTCACCATCCTGGCGCCGCAAGAGCCGGTAGCCGGGATCCCTCCACGGAAAGGGCTTCTTCACGTACTCTGCAGGTCGGACCATCAAAAAGTCCACCAGTTCAGACTGTTCAGCCTCGCCCAGGACGGCATGCGCGTTGGTGCCTCTGGGGGTCACAAGACGAGTTTTGAATGATGAGAGCTTCAGAGAGAACTAGGCGAAAGATAAGAATACAGCGCATGATCTTTGAGCGCATGTTTGAACATGTGGGTTCTGAGTAGACGCAAGGCAATGCATGTGTTTCTTAGGGATGCCCTCTGCAACAGTACACGAGGTAGATGTGATCAGCTTTCTGGTGCGCGAGAGTGCCTCCAAAGCCGAAGGAGGACAAACCACCGGTCCTCGGAGTCCTCTTCTGCAGTGGGAAGTGTTCCGAGGGGAAGACCTGAACTGAATCTCTCGAAGAGAGAGAGAGAGAGAAGCATTCAGACGAGAACAGTTGCGCGCCTGCGGCACGTCCTCAAGCAAGGTGAGGTGCGGATTCAGCGTGTGCAAGTGGACCACTGCGAGTGCCTTGCTGTGGCCCGGGTTGGCACAGCGCACATCAAGGGGCGAGTTAGGTGGGAAAAGCACGGAGCCCAAGCAAAGAATGAAGACATGCGTGAGAATTCCAGAAGTTCGCGAAAAGTTCGTACCAGAAGACCGCAAGAAGGGCGCAGGAAGCCCACAAGAAGTTCGTACGAGATCGCAAACTAAGAACACTGTGCGTCCGTGCAAGCTCGCAGCTCGTGCTCTCAGGCGCCGACAGCGCGGTGGCTCAGCAGCGCTATGGTCTTCAGCAGCCCGGGTGAGGCTGCAGCACCCTGCGAAGGGGTACGGGTACTTAGCAAAGGGCACTCCGGGAAAGAGTAAACGGTCTCCTGAGAGGGCATCTGTCAAAAGCAGCAAGGAAACATACGGAATCCATAGATTGGTGGCCTCCAAGTGGCCCACTTCGGTCTTCACAGCCGCCACGGCTGCAGGTTGCTGCCTCGGACCCTCGTCGAGGCTCCCCGCTTGGAGAGCCCCCACCTCAATGGGGTCACCCAAGGGCGTGCCCGTGCCGTGGGCTTCAAAATGCCGCACCTGGACAGAGACCGCACACGAGTCCTTGTGAGACCATGTTTACAGACCCTGTTCTTTTTTCTTCAGAAGTTCTCTTCAAAGCGCATCTTGGGTCCTTTCCCTGGCCTCGTGGTGCTGCAGCTTTGCCTCTGCCAGGGCCGTGGCCACGACCATGGTCTGGGATGGCCCGTTGGGCGCCGTCATCGTCGAGCTCCGGCCATCCTGGTTCACCGCCACGCCCCGAAGGGCGGCCTTGGGCTCACAGCAAAGCGGGCCACACACCACTCTACTCCTTACTACGATTATGATTGCACTTGCAATAAAACCATCACTTCGATCTGGCCCAAGTGGCACGCACCAGGTGCTGGGCCTCAAGAAGCGGGCACAGCGCCACGGCACCTCGGGAGAGCGGGCTTCTTCACTGCGCAACTCAGCCACAGCTCAATTCGGACGCCTGCCTGCGCCCTCTCCGCGGCCATAGCCGTCGGCTGAGGCGTCGAAGGCGTGGGACCGTCCCCGCGGCGACAGCCTTTTGGAGCTTTGTGCTCTTGGCAGGCTTTGTGGAACTTTGTGAGCCACAGCCGAGGTGTCCACATGCGGGGTTTGCTGAAGCTGATGAAGGTGGCCGGGCTGGCGATGACCTCGAACTCTCCGACAGTTCTCGATGCCTTGCTGGCCTTCCCCTCTCCCTCCGACTAACTCTTCTCTGCTCTCTTTTGCTCCCCATTCTGCTCCCCATTCTGCTCCCCTTTTCCTTCTTGCTCTCTGCTCACTTGGCCCGGCGCGTTGGCCGCCGCGCTGACGGCCGCGGTGCAGCGCCCCCGCCGCAGGTTCATCGCGGCCGCGTCCACCGCCACCTTTTTGGGCTCCCCGCCGTTCACGATCTTGTGCGATGTCGCTCTCTCATGGCTCAGTCCTACTCCTCTCGCTCATTCTCCCTTCTCTTGTAAAGGTGTCTCTTCGACTCAGATGCCCGCCAGGGCGGAGGAGCAGGCCGTGTCCACCACGTAAGCCGGGCCCTTCAGGCCGAGGCTGAAGGCCACACCTGGCCGGCTGTCGGGTCTCCTTTTTTTGGTGACTCGGCGACCTTCACCTTTTTGGTGGTTGTTTTTTCGTCTTTCCTGCTTCTGGGCATGTCATTGCAAGAGAGAATCCTCTTGGTGTCGGGCGGGCTGCCGACACGGAAGCGGACGTGCCGGTGGCCGTGTAGGGGTTGAGCTTGCCTTTGCACAATGACGACGACGTCGTTTCGACGACGACGACGACGACGAGGACGAGGACGAGGACGAGGACGAGGACGAGGACGAGGACGAGGACGAGGACGAGGACGACGACGAGGACGAGGAGCACCACTAACAAGTACTACTACCACCTAGTACTAAGGGAAGGAGTCTGAGGGGGGGCTGAGCATTTTCTGCACTGCGGCTTGTTCTAGTTCTTGGGGGAAAGGGAGGGGGCCTGGCAACTAATCCTTGGAACCCGACTGCGAGCCTTTTGCTGAATTTCACATTGGGGCCATGAAACAGGAAGTCAAGAGGAGCGTAAACTGTGCAACCTGTGCAAACTGCTCTTGGGGATTGAGACAGGTGGTCTGAGAGAGCAGGAAGCTCTCGCGGCAGCCTGGCTTGGGGCTCGAGCGTATGTCCCCAGACTGGACTTGAATCCAATCGTTGTTGGAAAGTCCAATAATGGCAGCTATTGAACTGCCGACGAGCGCCTGGACTGCGGAGACGTGTCGCCACATGTCGCGCATCGCCACATCGTTCTTTTAAACAGATTCTTACAGATCTCCGCAAGGCGTGCTCCCACTAGCCTCGCGCTTCATCGCCCCATCCAGGAGGGCGTCATGCGCCGTCTCCAGCACCTGGGTGATTTGCAGGCTTCTGCTGCCTTTTTGTTGTTAGCACTGCTCTTTACACACAACACATGCACTCCTTTGCTGGGACGAGGCACCAGGCGCTGCTGCGGGTCCATGGCTCTGGCCTGGCAGGAGACGCGACGGCCAAGACTTTTGACGATTCTGACCTGACCTCTCGGGATTTTTTGGGGGGCATCCTGCAGTCTCTGTTTTGGCCCGATGTACTAATTACACCGCGCAAAGGACATACAAAGTGCTCATTGAGGCGTGAGAATTAGCGAACGCTTAATAACGTTTAGGATTTATGTGGTGGCCAGCGGCCCGCGTGGCCCGCGTGGCCCGCGTGGCCAGCGTGGCCGAGCCTGGCCTCCGGTGCGGAGATGCCGAAGTACTGCGCAGCAAAATCCTCGACACCTTCGATGAAGGCCTCGGTGTTAAAACACTTCTAACTGCAACCCTTTGACCCCGGAAACCCTTTGATCCTGCCACGTGGCTGCGTGTCGCGGGTACATCTTCCCTGGCCTCCCAGCGTTCGAAAACTCAGTCTGCGAGCGAACGGGCGAACGAGATCCATGTCGAGAAATCTGAGCAGAAGGCGCGTCGGGATTCGGGTCGTAGTAATCCTCAGCTCTTGCATCTTGCCGAGTCGAGCTACGGACTGGTGCTGCATGCTGTATCGACCATCTCGACATGCCCGCCCCGGTCAGGGGCTCGGAATGACAATTCTTTCAAGTTGCCTAAAAGAGATGACTCTCGAAGCTTCGCCAAGCTTCGTCGAGCTCCCACCGCGTGAAGGGCACCTGATCGACATCTCCGGGAAAGTCATTTTGAGAGAGTGGTGTGGAAAACATCTGAAGATGGCCTCCACACAGCTTAAAACAAAGAGCCCCTCGCCTCGACGGTGCCGTCGGTGCCGGAGGCCAGCAGCGCACCGAACTTTGCGGGGCCGCCGACGTCTCCGGCGTCGCCTCTCTCTCTCTGAACGAGCGAGAAAAGATCTATTCCGAGCTCTTCAGATATTCAGAAAGATTCGAGAAGGGGGAACTCACCACTCCGTGTCAGTATAGTTGTACAGCGTGCAGCGAGAGAAAACAAGCTAGAGTGGAACTATGTGGAACTGGCTGAGAAAGAAGGGCGTTGCGGCCTTGCCTGGAAAGGCACACGCTGTGCCGATGACGGCGAGAGGGTCGCTGGATGCTGAGCGGCTGGGAGTCGCAGGGAGCGGTGGCTTCTTGCTTTGCTCGCCGCGGGGCCCTTTTGGACGCTGAGCTGCTTCGGCGTAAGCTGCCACGGCCTCACGACTGCAAGCCGGGGATCATGGGAGCATGGGATCTCATATAGTCTCAATGCTGTCTCATGAGCGACCCAGCCCCGAATCCGAAGCCGAGCTGACCGGAAGAAACCTCCCAGGCCCCCCCCCCCCCCCGCGCCGAGAGCGTGGGGTGGTCGAAGACCAACGTACTTGGCAGGCGCAGCCCAGGAAGCTCTGCTGCCAGCCTCATGGCGTCATCATGGCGTCACATGCACACCAACACCCGCTGTGCGCACACCTCGCAAGGACCTGAGGGAACCGGCTTGGCACTGAACTGCACTGCTGCCTTGGAGTCCATGCCCGAATCCAGTAGGGGCTTGTCTGCCTGAGGGGGACATGGCATCATGGACTATCATGGATCATCATGGATCATCATGGGCATGTTGCGGCTCTCTGGTCCGTGTTTCTGCGCGTCCTCCACAGCAAAGCCGGCAGATTCCGCGGCAAGCCGGATCATCATCTTCCGCCTGAGGGGAAGCGCATTGCTGAGGCCACGGAGAGGGGGGGGGACGGGGGCCCCACTTCTCTTGATTCTCTCTCATTCTGTTTATGTCAGGGCCCAGATTCGGCCTAGATGTCAGCGCTTTCAAAAGAAGAGCTCTCAGCCCAGGACAGCATCTCCCGGGACATCGTCTCCTCCGGGGCCGGGGCCGCGGCCACCGGACCTCTCTCGGAGGAACAAAAGATCGGCAGACCGGCCAGCTGGACCCCCAAACACCAAACACGCACGCGCACGCGCACGCGCACGCGCACGCGCTGTGCGCAACAGAGCTGTCACACTTGTCTACTTTCCTACATTTCCTGCTTCCATCCCGCCTGGGCCGTTCGGGAGGGGTGCACGCCCCTCGGAAGCCGGGACGTTGATCGTGCACGATTTCATTCTCTTGCACGCTCCCTCCGCCTCCTCTTCCAGGAAGGGTGACTGCCGGAAGAGCCTCAGAGCAGGAGGCAAAAGACGTGGCAGCAGACAGTGGCAGCAGACATGGGCAGCTCGGAGGAGCACTGGAAGAGCCGCTCCACGCTGGAGGGCCGAGGATCTGCAGGATCTGCGGAGTCCTGATCGCCATCAATGTGGCTCACAAGTCGTGTGCAAATGCTCGGTCAGCCCTGTAAACTCGTAGCGTTGCCGTGGGTACGGTCTTGGTGCTCTCCCTCTTGCGGCCTAGAACGCCTGCTGCTGCGCATGAGTTCAAGGGGCCGCCCGCACACCCACACCCACAAAAAGCTCTGCTTGCTTGGTGGTGCTTCTCACGCGAGATCAAAGACGATTCCCAAGAATCACAGAATCTCGAGAGGAGAAATGGGAACGGCTTCAACGGCACGGCGGGGGTCGCATGGTGCCGGGGCGCCTCCGTCAGCTCGAGCAGGATGCGCTCGGATGCTCCGGGGCCAAGGTGCTGCATGGCCTTCGAATCCCGAAACCGTGAGAAGCTGCCCTTGAGACCCAAGACCGGGCACGAAGAACATTGGGCAACTGTGAGCAACTGTGAGCATCTGTGAATCTGGCGAGCTTCAGCACCCGCTCCACCACCTTCGCCGTCCAGCCAGGCTCCGCCTGCACGGCTGCAGTCCACACACTTTGTCCGACCCGCCTCACCTCCCGCGTTTCTCTCAGATCTCCATTGGGCCTTCGAGCCGCGCATGACGGCGCCGGAGACCAAGCGGAGGATGAGAAGGTTCAGGACGTTGGTGCCCACCAGCGCCAGGCACTCGGAGTCATGTGACGCATGAAGGGGACCAAGCATGTGTATTGAGCATGTGCGTGCGTACTTCTTCATGTTCTTGTAGGGAAGCCGGCTAAATTGTTAAACGCATTTGTACAGTGGCCCTTTGGGGAGACTCAAGGCGCTTGCTGGCGGCAGCGGCCTGCGTGAGCCAGCTGGCCACGGGCAGCGAGGACTGGTCGTTGAGGATGGCCCGCAGATCCAGGAGGAGGACGCAGGCGCCGCGCAGGACCTCTCTCCGTGAGTCTTCTTCTTCCGCTTGAGAGCCCCCTCTGGCATGAGTCTCTCTCTCTCTCTCTCTCTCTCTCTCTCTCTTCTGAGATTGGGACAAACGTGGAGAGGACCATGCCAGCTTTGATTGGCAAGAGGACTATTTCGCCAGCTCCGGCCATCTTGGCGATCCAAAAGGAGCTGGTGAAGAACACCGTCAGCTCGGTATAGCAAGCCACAACCGTGCCTCCACATCACACACAGAACAACTTACCTAGCTTGGGTGGAGGTGCCAAAGCTGCCTGGCACGGCACAGCCGCTGATGATGTTGTGCAGCGCGAAGGCAGGGAAGCCCAGATGATGGGCCACCTGCACCTCTGAGAAGACACTATGTCGCAGACACCGCAGTTAACGCTTCCAAAAAGACACCACGCTGGGGGCCGCGGACGGACCAGCCGCGCTGACCGTAGGACTTGAAGGCGCCCGTGGCGGGATGCAGCAGGATCTCAGTTCCCGAGAGAAAGACACACAAGAGACCCTTCCGAACATCGAGCAGAGCAGAGCAGAGCAGAGCAGAGCAGAGGCCATGTGGAAGGGCCCCGCGCCAGCAGCTCAAAAAGCCAAGCACCCAGGAGGTAGAACCTGAAGGATGCCAAGGTGTTCCCCCGCATGTCTTCAAAAGCATTCGTGCTTTTCGAAGCATGGTTTGGGATTCCACTTCGAATTGTGGTCGCACTCGGCTCCTCTCAACGAGCAACAAAAGGGGGCCCCGACATTGTCAACCACAAATCGCGAGGGGCGCTGATGGTCCACTGGTTGCCGCCTGGGGCTCCCAGGGCTCCAGCCGCCCATCTTTCTGAGATTTCTTTTTAAGGGGCTTCAGGAAGACTTCGGGAAATCGGGAAGTCGAGAGCCCGGCCGGTGAAAAGGAATATTTCCAGTGCCTCGGAGGGCGGCAGGATGTACAGCACGGCCAGCGGCTGGTGCCTGGGAGAGTCGACGGCGCAGCCTCTAGTCCTCAAAAATCATCAGCTGAGGCCCGTGGCAACGAGGCCACCGTAGCGCGAGCCCTCCACCTCATGGCCCTCGGGAGAGTAGGAGAGCGAGAAGGCAGCGAAGGCTCTTATATCAAGGGTGGAGGAATTTCGGAAACCCTTGTGGATGAGACACTGTGACCCTGGATGCAGCTGAGGTGCGGCGGCAGCTCCCGTAGTTTCCACGGGATGAGGTCCGTTACGACCGCGCAGAGCGCAGAGACGCCAAAAGAGAAGACCTCAGCAAGAATGGGAAGAAAACCGGCAACCCCAGGGTCGTCGACGGTGGTCTCCCCCTCCCCCCTCTGCGGCCTCTGCGGGCCTCTTTCTGTAACAGCTTGACAGCTTGTGACCCGGGGCACCGAGCAGCGATGAGGATGAGGTCCAGCGCAGCAGGCCGCTTCATGGGCGAACAGCCTCCGAAGAATGCGAAAATCGGATCTCATGGATTTTTCTGCCCTTCCTATCCCCCGAGGGCTCTGCCGGCGTCATAGGCCGTGAGCTCCAGCGGCAGAAGAAACATCGTCGAGATGGCCTTCACTAGTCACTAGTGCATTCCAGATAGCTGCTGCCCATTGCAGGCATTCGCTTGTATCAGATTGCATCATCCGACATTCCCAGTGCGTGCCTGCACCACTGATGGGCGGAGCTCTCACAAAACAACTGCCTGAACTACGGAAACTCTGTGATGCTCGATGAAGTCAGCTCTCGAATGGCTGCATCTCTCCGGTAGAGGTGATGGTGTCATTGGTGTCCCATCTTTTCAGTGCTACAGGGGATCACATTGCAATCGCGATGTGTTGCTTCTCATGTTGGCCAAGGAGTTTCTCCTGGAGCCAAGCAGAATCACGGAAGCCAGAAAAAGTCTGCGCAACTCGACGTGTTCCAGACATTTGTTCTACAACCTGACGCGGGCCAGTCGGAAAGGCCCACCACACACAGACAACACAGCATGTACTTTGTTCTACGTCTTTGCACGCTACGTTGGAAGCGCAAGCTCGCGATAAAGGTCATTATTGTACTACGACGCGCATGTTGACAAGCTCGTGCTTCCAACGTGTTGCGTGCAAAGAGACGTAAAAGGAAAGGAAAAATGAAAGAGAGAGAGAGAGACAGGGCCCTTCTCCGAGCCGGCAGCATCGGGCCCAGGGCCCTCCTGCTTCGCAGCCGCCTCTGCGAAGCGAAAGAAGTGGGAGAAAAACAAGAAGACTGAAAAGAAGCTTCATGTGATGAGTGCGAGGTCTCCCCAAAATGTTGAGATGTAGATTGAAGGATTTTTCAAAAAAGCTTGTCAGGCTTCTCTCAAAGACTCTGGGACTCTGCGATCAGACTTGGCTGCTGGCCTGCGCCTCGTGCAGACTCTCGAGCGTCTCACGGCGCTCTCGTTCCTACAAAAGAGGAGTGTCAGCTGCGTCTACGCTGAGCTGGGAGCTGGGCTTGGCTTGGCTAGGCTGAAGGGCCAAGGGGTTGAGCCATGTGAACGCTAGCCTTGGAATGAAGCTTCCAGATTTGCTGCAAATGCTAACGAAATCGATATGACTGAACGTATGTAGATCACAGACCCTACCCCCCAGCAATAGAGGCAAAAGACTGGCACAAGGCAGAGGTGTTCTACTCGGCATCTCCCCATCTGCTCTCCTGCTGGGCGGTGGCCAAGGCTTCTTTCGCTTTGGTGTCTGCCTTGTCCTTCTCTTCCTGTCACCGCAGAGTCTGCAGCTTGGCTTCCTTAGCTTACAACCGAAGCACCTTCAGCTTCTTCAGCTCGTCTTCCAGCATCTTGATCCGCTTCTCCAGCGCAGCGATCTTGGCTTTGTAGGCCTCTGGGCAAAAAGAAAACACATATGCTCTCACTTCCTGTGCCCTTTCCGCCTTCTCCTGCTCTTCCAGCAACCTGAAGGCGGGGGGCACACTTGTCGGGTACTTTGCCGCCCTCGAACTGCGTCCCTGGAGAGGATCACGAGCCGGGGTATGGGCTTCTTGACCTCCTCGTCCGAGAGCCCTTTGACCACCGGCTCCTCTTTCGCCACCTCTTTCGGCGATTCTGGGGTCCTCAGAAGCCAACAAAACGCTCCAACGGTCGCAGCTGGGATTCTTTCTGGGGCCCGGTCTTCACGGATGACGGTCTGGAGATCTCCGCTTTCACCACCTCCTGATGCATCATTCCCTCTCTTTTTGTTTTTCACAACACCTAATAACACAAAAAAAACTTGCCGCTCTCAACAGACGAGCGCCCTGTTTTCAACAGAGCTCTCAAAGGAAAGAAGCTCTTAGAAGACTTTTAAGAGCTCTGAGAAAACCGAGAAAACCCGGCGCCTGGACCTCCGGAGGCTTGTTCTGGAGCTCCAGGAACTTCTGCTTCCAGCGCTCGGCGGCCGCGCGGGCCGACTCGAGCTGCCTCAGCAGCTGCTCGTTCTCCTCCTTCAGCCGCTCGTAGAGCTCCCGGAGCCTCTCCAGCTCCGCCTGAGCAGAGAGCAAGAGAGCAAAGGCAAGGGCAGGGGGCTATAGGATTCCAGGATTCAATTTTTTTCTGCTTTCTGCGACGCGCGCGCACCTCCAAGTCGGTGTCGTCGCCGCCGAAGGCGATGCCCTCTCCAGCTTGGTCTCTCTCTCAATATGGGAGAGGTATGGGCAAAAAATCGTTCTGAAAAGAAGCGCACGCCACACGCAACTTGGGGTCTGCGGCGAAGGCCTTGTCAGGCTTCAGGCCGAAAGGCAGCCGGCCATTCTTGTACTTGGACGGATCCAGGGATAAGATACGGCGCACCTCACGAGGCGGCTACTGGGCCGCTGGGCCCCAGAAGGCAGAGGAATCCCACAACGCCTTCTCCGTGATGCAATCAATCATCAGGTCCTTGTCATGAACCACTCCACATCTGTCATCAAGAAAAACATGCTTTGCGTGTTGCTTTAAACTTAGGCATTCAACAGCCTAGGCACTTGTTGGTGTGGGACATTGATGGTCTCAGATTTTGGATGAGGCTGTAACCTTATTCTGGGCCTTGCTGCACTTGTGGCGTTTAGAGAGATGACGAACGCAAAGGTTGACCCCTATACTGCTACAACCTGCAAACCTGCCTGCTCCGCAACTTGACGACCCCAAAAACACCAGGGGGTCCTTGAGATCGTCATCGAACTGGTTTAGCGGCTCGAAGATCTCGTTGTCCATCTGCAATGCAGCTGCTGCTCTCTCAAACCCCTGGAATCTCCGAAAGTCCGTGCACTGTACACTGTACCCGGTAGCCTCGTCAAGTTGCATCTGGTCCGCCATGATCTCCAGTGTGTCATCCACATGCAAAGGAGACACCACGCCTGCCAGCTGCCCTAACCATTTCCGGGTGCACTCAGTGCACGTGCACTCGCATTTTAGTCGAGCTTTGTCTAGTGACTAGTGTGTCCGCTGTGTCCGACAGGACAGGTGGTTGTTGTATGCTGTTGTTGTTGTTGTTGTTGGTGATGATCATGGTGCTCGGTCAACGCTGTATCGTCTCATGACGGCTACTGCTCTAAGCAACTTCGACTGCTGGGTGTGTTCATCATTGACCGTTGATTCTTCGCCACCTGGTCTGGCAACAGGTTTCTGCCGAGGCTCGTAGGAAAGCCAGGGCAGCTCACGGCAGTTCACCCCCACTCGCCCTCCTCCGCATCGATGTCCCGGCCTGGACCCTGGTAGCCCTGGTCAGGGACCTCCGGGAGCCTGCCAGATGTGCACACCCGCTTGGAAGCTGTTTGGAATTCCAAAGGCTTCGTGACAGAACTTGGAAGCAGACCCGGACGGTTGGAACCCTCCATCGGAGGCCAAGGATGCTCGCCGCTCGCTCTTCCCCTTTGCACGGTGTCTTCTTTTCTCTCGGCCAAACATTTCCATGGGGAGAGATGGGGAGAGGGAGCATCTTTTTTTTGGGGGGGCAGGGGGGGGGGTTTATATAATCAGGGGCCCACGACATGCACTCGGGCGCTGGCTCCAGGGATCCCCAGGTGCGCTGCCTCCCAAGGCATCTTCTTGGCACATCTCGCATCTTCTTAACAAGTCTTCTTCGCACATCCTCTCACTTCGCTTGCTCCGGGGCGCGCACTGGCGACAGCCTTCCTGCTCAGCTTCCCACTTCAAGGGCGAACGCGCAACCACTAAGCCGAAAGGCAGGCTCGCGACCGAATCCGCTCTCCGGTGCTCCAGACTGCAGCCCCCGGTAAGATGAGCGCGCCTTGCCCGAAGCCTCCCATGACCTGCGAGGGGGAGTGCGACATGTCAGGAAGAGTTTCAGAGACGAGAGATCTTCGGGGATTGGCGCCTCCGTCCTGCTGGAGAGCAACTAACTGCAAAACGTCCGCAGCCTTTTGAGACTTCGTGCTCTTCACGGAGGTCTTGCAAATTTGTGAAACCCTGGTGAAACGAAGCAGTGACACCGAAAGGCTGCCATGGCCGTGCGAGCGCTCAATCGGCCTGCCCTTTTTGTTCGACGGTGGCCTCGTCAGTCTTCTGGGCGCGACGCCGATGCGGCGCGCAGACGGGCATCGAGGAGATCGAGGAAGCATGCAGGTGCCTGCAGGCCAGGGAGAAAGCAAGACCAACCGTGACTAAGCAATAGCCGCCCCTTCGTTTCAGGCCCACCTGGACCAAGTCGTGCAGGAGGCCCTGGGACTGATTACGGTTTCAGAGGCTGCAAATCGTCATCTGAAAGCCCCGCGTTTGCACTCAAGGGCAAAGCGGGGACGAAATGGGTGCAGAGTCTCGCTGGCATGGTGGGGTCAAGGCAGGTCTCGGATAAGAAGCTTCATTGAAAGGGGTGTACGACACGGGGCGCGCCTGGGCAAAAGCCAGCAACCGGTGCTGGAACAAATACCTGCAGTTGAAAGCCGGGGACATTGATTGGAGTGTGCTGTGTACTGCGTGTACTGTGCTCAGCTTTGACCCCTGGGAGCCGGGCTGCTCGGCCGAACCTGGCCTTAGAAGTTGGGCACTTCTTGTCGCAACTCTCAAAGGAGCTCCCCCTATGGCCCCAAACCTGTCCTCGTAAACTCGGCTCTACTTTGCGCGGTGGTGCGACTTCAGTGCCCCTTGTCACAGCACGCATCGTGTGATGTGTGCTCTCTGTCTGCTGTTCCTGCCCTGCTGTCGGGCCTTCAAGTGCGGAACGCAAATCAAGTTGACTAAAGTCATGTGCATGTGACCTAGCAGCCTCCTTCTGCCAAAGACTTGGGCGTTAGTCTGGCTATCGCATTGCATGTTGGGCCTCACCTGTTGTGTGATATTTGCTTCTCACTGTGTTCTCGGAATCTCGGAACAGGATGACAAGGAATGTCGATGCTTGGAACATTTTGCGACATCTGCGCGTCTCCAATGGCCAATGCTGAAATGCCCCGGGGAACATCTGCGTAGGTTCCGACGCATTCCTGTTGTCCCAGGGGGGAACTTGGCTTTAAGCTAAACTACCGCTTGCATGGCTACACCATGCCGATACGAAAGAGCATCTTGCTCTGAAGTCTGGTTCAAAATCTCTGTCGCGCATTAAGATCGCAGTCTCCTGGCAACCGGGGCCTTCAAATCCCGTTTAGAGAAAGATATGATGAAAGGTGTGTATGTCAGCGAGTCATGCCCCTAGATCCCGGAGCACTGCAGATCATCAGCGCAGAGCGCCCAGTCAGCAAAGCAGCGGCCAGAGCGTGAAGATAGCCCCTTGCCGCTTGCCACCATCACTTCGACTTCTCCTGGGCAGTGCAGCTTCTGTCGGGCGCATCGGCTTAATGCCGGAGTGCTAGCTTTGTCTCAGTAGTCCGCAGTCGGATGCCTACAAAAACGCAAATCACTCCTGACCCGCCAACTGAACGTGGTCATGTCCCCGTCAGGCCTGCATTTGGAGTAGCTGCAACGCTTTCGAGAGCCTCGCGGCCTCACCAAGTCAGAGTTTGCACTTCCCGGTGCGTCGCGGTCTGTACGAGATTGCATTCTGTTCTACGTTGCAGCTGCTCACACAACAGCATCGCCCCCGAGGCCCCAAGGCCCTACGATCCAAGTAAAGTGCGCGCTTAGCAGCAGCACGCATGATGCAGATGCCTCTAGCGTGCTGCAGGAGTTCTAACGTAGAACGCGATATCCTGAACGCGAAACTTTTCCCCTCAGTCGATTCAGAGCAATCACTGGCATCCAATGACAAAAGCAGGAACCTTGTCGGCGAGCTTCTTCCGATAAGCCGCGGTTTCGTCACTTTCATGGAAAAGCTCATGGACTGCGCCCCGCTCCATGTAACCTTGCAGCCCTCGGCGGTTTGGACAAGGTGAACAAACATCAACGTCGAACACATGATCACTGTGCAGGGCTTTCAACCAATCCAAGGAGCTCTTCCACACATCTTTCGACATCGAGTCCACGACAAGACGAAGCATTGTGTCCACTTCGCGTGGCAACTGATCACAGAAGCGCTTGAACGCAACCTGGACTTCGAGTTAACGCATGCAGCTTGCAGGATCACTGTTCAGCAAAAGTGTTTCCACTACAGTACTCTGCCGCACAACTACATAACACTACAGTTTACCCTTCAAGAATAGTGTAGGTCATTGGATCTACAGTTGCAAGAGACTATAGGTCTCCAAGCCATTCATCGTGCACCTGCTTTACAGGCCTAAGGTATCAAGAGGCGCGCCAAGCAGACTTTCGCCGGTGCACCTTGTGATAGGCGTATGTGACGCACATGCACCAGATTGCATCGTCATCCTTACTGTACCATGTGGAAAACACATAAGACGCTTCATTTGCTGCATTTTCAAAACCCGATTACATCAAGTCATATCAGGGAGCCAAGCAACGTCACTTGGCTCTACCAGGTCCTTCTCGAGCTTTATGCCGCTCGCTCGCAGCAATCGCCTGAGGTCTTCCTGATCCTTCGGTGCCAGCTGTTTCCAACCAATCGTGAGGCCCAGTTGCTTCCTGACCATGAGCTGGGCCTTCTCAAACCCATCCTGAAGGTAGTGGTCGTTTTGCGTGAACAAGTCCGGAGACAACTCTTGCTCCAGAAGCTTCTCCTTGCTTTCCTGACAAATGCCTGTTGCCTGTTTCACGGTTTCCGTGATGGACCCCAGCAGCTCCGTGCGAAGTACTGGATACAGCTTGGTGGACTCAGCGACCACGGCATGGGCGAGTTCACTCAGCAATCGACTGCTCTCTGTGACGCAGCTCGTTGCGGGCTTCTCCCACTTCTTGATGGCGTCGTGAATGAGGCCTCGAGCTGCCGCGTAAGCAGCAGGCCCACCGGGAAGCCGGAGCTCACGCCCCCTGTGCCGCTCGATGAGCTCACGAACCTTGCCCACACTGAGGTATTGCCCTTCGCGAGGCCCCTCGACGAGGGTTATCACGACAGGCCACTGGGGACTCTTCTGCACCAGCTGCTTCGGCCGTTCCCAGAACGTACTACAGATTCCATTTGCTTCTTCCTGCCAACCTGACTTCCAGTCCGGAGGAATGGAGTCGTTGCGGTGTGGTGTTCCTGCGCGAAAATGCGGGGTATTTGCGCCTGGCATTCTCAACCAGTCCTCATCCAGTACGCGGGAAGCGGCTGGAACCTTCCTGCCGCTCGCGTCAATGTCTTGCGTGAGCTGTCGCTCAGCTGTCATGTGGGCAGTGAGCCAGTGCCAATCGTCCCAGCTTTTCAGCGACACCCTCATCTTGCGGCATACCAAATCGCTGTTGTCCAGCACAACCTCCCCAGCTTTAAGCAGAGGCCGACAATCAAAGCAGGCATTCCTGAGCTCTTGGTACTTCTTCTCCAGAGATTTCCAAAAGTCCAGCTCAGCGCGGTCCTGAGCCTCAATCGTCTTGTGAAGAAGGCCCTTGATCTTCTCCAACAAGCTCATGAGCTCGACCATGACCATCTCCGGAACGAGCGGAAGGCCCAAGCTCTTCAGCTCCTGGCGCTTTCAGGTTGCAGGAAGTCGGCGATGCAAAGGGTGAATCGGAGGATAACCTTTAGTTAATTGCCCGCAGCACTGACCCCCATTTGCTCGGCATCAACGGCAACACGGCTTCGTTGTGGTCGCAGCTGTCGCACACTTACATTTGATGCGGCAGCAGTCCTTCTCGGTCTTCTCGTGCTGCGCGGCGAGCTCTGTTTGCACCTCGGGCAGCCTCAAGGATCCAGGAAAACGTGAAAAACGCAACAGCGCCAAGCGCTTACTCAGTTTACTCCTAGCAGGTCAGCCGGACAAAACTCGTGCAGACTTGAAGCTGCTGCTGGATGAGGCGGTGCAGTTGATCTCCCAGGAAGTCTCGCAAAGGTGAGGTCCCACAACGATCCCGACCATGTTGCCACTGCGGGCCATCGAAGAAGGCTTCTTCCATTCTTCTTGCCTCCGCGGCAGTCAGGCCCTTGTCTAAGTCAGACTGTCCTGGATTCTTCACTGCAAAGTAGCCATGCTTGAGCTTATACAAGTTCATCTGATTCAGGAGGATCTTCTCCCACTGCGTCTCCAGGCCTTGCAGAATATGAATCAAACCCCAAGCTTCCGCCGCTTGACGCTTTGATCTATAAACCCTAGCCTCCAGATCCTGCTCACTGCACCCCAACCGAGGCCTTCTGGAATCCTGTCCGCCTTCGTGAGGATCCCCACCGTCCGGAGGCCCTCGGCATCAAATTTCTTGGCCAGGGCGCGGACCTGGGGTTCTTGTCACAGAAGAGAACTCGGGACCCTGCCAGGCTCCGCAGAGCTTTGGGGAATTGAAGTGCCACGCGGGTTTAGACATTCTTTTGCGCAAGGGACTCATGCCTACGTTATCCCTCAACCCCTCCCGTAAGGAAGTCTCTATCCGGGGTTTAGAAGTGGGGGGATGATGCCGCGAACTTGCGAAGGCCTCTTGATTCTCCAAGTCGTCGTCGAAGGGGCAGCACATCGCAATCAGCGTGTTCTCCCGGCGGATGTAATCGGAGCACAAGTCCCGAATTAACGACACCAGCTCCGCATTTGGCGCGGACGCAATGAGGCCTGGAAGATCGATGAGCTGGAGTGCTTGGAACTCCCTGCCTCGAATGTCCACTTGCACGACGTCCCTTGTGAACTCCAGCTCAAGGGATGCCGTTGGGGATGGGGACCCCTCAAACAGCCCCCTCAGTGACTCCACGGTCAACCACCCAGGCTTCTCGGGAATTTCTTGCGTCTTCCGGAACTTCTCCAGGTGGATGGGGCCTAGGTGCACGCTGAGAACTTCCCCAAAGACGAGTCTCAGGGTTTGGCACATGCGCAAGAAGTACAACGCGCGCGTAAACCGACGCAGTTTAGGCCTCACCCCGACAGGATGGGCACAGAACAGTGCCAATGGGAAGCCGGGCAGCTGAGCAGCAACCTCGGCCCCGGGGATCCGAAGCAAAGGGAAGGACTTTAGGGCTTATTTATAGGCAAGGGCGTAGTGGAGATGCGCAATTTGGGCCGGGCAGCGTCTGGGCAAGTCCCAGGAGCTCCGCCACCTTCGACATGTCGGAGGTCTCTGCCAGTCGCAACCTCCCAGGGCTCAGGGGGTTTTCTCTCCGACAGCAACAAGCTAAATTCGAGCCGGCATGCTGCTCTTCGTTGTCTCGAGTAGACCCTCTTCCCCCCCCCCTTCCGTGGTTTGGAAAAACCCTGGCTTGCCCAGCTCTTCGCATCGGATGCTGACGGCGCAGCTGAACTCCACATCGGCTGCTGAGGTGTAGATTTCATACGCGCATCGCGTGCAAGTTCCAGCTGCGCGGGGCACGGATATTCCTGCCAGGTCGTGAAGTGCAACATGCAGCAGACGCAAGTGGCCGCTTAACTTGGATCACTGGCTTCAGGGCTTAACCTCATCAGAGGACCATATTGACCTCCTCAAGAGCGGAAACCAGCAGGCACGTTCCACGCAACGACCCTGCCTGTCAATGCCTCCATCACTGAAGACTTGCCGCTGCTCTGTTTGCCCACTACACAGATGCGTGGCAAGTCCACGTCCTCAGCTTTCGGGTAGCAGAACTTCTGCGCAGCCTTGTCGAAACTCTCCCGAAGATTTGGTATGTTCAACGCGGGCATCGGATGGCATGGATAAGTGGCTTGCACAGAATGCCTTTCTTCCATTCAGAACTCAGAACATCGCCATGGCAGAAGGCCAATCCTATTGTTGAGGCATGATAAGTCTTTCCTCACATGCCGCTCGGGAAAGGTGATATGAGACTTATGAGACCCCCCGGTGCTTGTCATACAAGGGGCAGCATCGACGCCGAGGTCACGGAGCTGGCGAATTACATCCATGGCCTCCAGTCTTGAATGCCTCTGCCCATACATGTTGTGAGGAAACTATCTTTACACTTCAATATGTTGGGCAGGATGGCCCCCACGATGGTATCATGGAAAAATTGACATCGGGGATCCCAAAAAACACTGCGATTTGGAGCACCAGGTGCCGGGATCTGCTGGAAAAGGGAACAGACATAGTCACTTGCCGACTACAACGAACTCCCCAACATAACGACAAGTGCAGAGGCCTATGCTGAAAAGACCAGCAATGCCCAAAATCTGCAGTATTCCGAGATGGCCTACTATTCCCAAATTAAAACGAGCACGCCTTGTGAATGGCCATCGAAAGCTTCGCCCCGCCCTCCATGGCACACGCGGGTGTTCGCAGGAGCGCGGCTTGAACGCCACAGCGTGGAAACCACAGACCCTCACAAACTGAAGTCTCTTGAGATCAGGGACATGGCAAGATGGACCTGTGAAACACAGCCGATACGAGTACTACTGCCACAACTCCTACTGCTCGTCCTACACTCCGCCACCTCTTGCGATTACAGTAGTAGGTGGTAGTCGTAGTCGTAGTCGTAGTCGTAGTCGTAGTCGTAGTCGTAGTCGTAGTCGTAGTAGTAGTAGAAGTAGTAGCAGTAGTAGTAGTAGTAGTAGTAGTAGTAGTAGTAGTAGTAGGTGACACGCTCTTAACTGATCATGGTGTTTTCTGCTGTTTTTTCACTTTTTCTATCGTTTTCTCCTGTTTTTTCTCCGTTTGACGGGTTGGGGGGGGGGGTGGGGGGGGTAATTACGTGCTGTGCTTTGCGCGCGCATGACCACGCTCAGGGGTTGGGGGGGGGGGTGGGGGGGGGTGGGGGGGTAATTACGTGCTGTGCTTTGTGTACAGGGTTTCACGCATTCAGGGTTGCGGGCACAGGCTCGAACATAACTTTCGGGTTCAACGTTGAGAAGAAAACGGAAGCCCACCACACTAGAACATACCGCCGCAGCGATCAGGGCGCCAGAGATGTCGCCAGGCATGGATGCTCTGGTTACGCACATGGCAAAACAAAAGCGAGCAGTAACACGAGAGCTCGAAAGCCACCGATACGACACCATCTCCGATATTGGATCCGCTGGGAGAAGCAACGTGTATTTTCCTGCAAGCAAGCCCCTTATCCATAGATGCGACTCAGTTGAAACACAAAGCCCCTCCCCCCATGGTGCCTCGATCAGTGTGGGAAGCAACTTCCAAGCAAAACCCCGTGACTGGCCGCGTAGCCAGTCTGCTGTCCTAGTCTGACAACGAAACCCCATCAGGTGACACGACTTCTAGCGCCGCGGGGTGTTGCAGCAGTTCTCCATGCGCCGTTTGAGGAGTTCTGCACCAGGAATGCGTGAAGGGTCTGCAAAAGATTGGCGGCTTGAAGCAGTTGGAAGCGAAGACGCTTCCTGTCGCCTGTCGTCACCATCCAGCAAATCAGAACCGCGTTCCTGAGGACGCGAACTGTCTCGTCCGCGAAAGCCGCAGCAGGCTCCGGCCCGGAGACATTGTTCACAACGTGGGCGAAGAGAAGTCTTGCCGTGCGAAGAGCGTCACTTAGTGGAAGCAGAGCCAGTGATCGAGAAGACATGGCGAAGAGCAACAACGGTAGGTCAGTGGCAAGGTTCCAGAGCTTGCACAGCTTCAGATCTTTTGGGTTTTTTAGGGATTTGGGGTTTCGGGTTTCAGGGCAAGACCTTTTGGGCTCACAGTGGGGTTTGGGGCTCGAGGGTAGCGATCTTTTGGGGTTTTTGGGGATTTAGGGTTTCGGGTTTAAGGGCAAGACCTTTTGGGCTCACAGTGGAGGGTTTCGGGTTTGGGGCTTCAGGGTGGAGATCTTTTGGGGTTTTTTTGGGAGCCTTTTGAGCTTCGACTGGAGATATGGGGTTTGGGGTTTCAGGCTCCAGATCTTTTGTGTTTTTTTCTTTGGGATTTGGGGTGTAGGGTTCAAGGGCAAGACCTGATTTGGGGTTGAGATTTTAAGGGTGCACGACTCTTGGGCTTGCTTCAGGTTTTGGGGTTTCGGATTTCAGGGTGCACGACTGTTCGGCTTGCTGGACGCGTTCGGATTTAAGGACAAGTTGGGCAACATCTTAAAACAAAACGCGAAACGCTGTAAATACCGGTGTTTTCCTCTGTTCTGAGAACGCGTCTGCGCGAAGTAGGGCCTGTAATTTACCGTTTTTGAAGCCCGAAAACACTGTAAATACCGATGTTTTCCTCCTGCGCCTAAAGTAGTTGAAAGTAGTTTCCGGAAATTTTTACACGTCGATTTTTCGTGTCCGTAAACGGACAAAGCCAGGAAACACTGTAAATACCGAGGTTTTCGTCTCTTAACACGAAAATGGCATGCCACAAAACCCTGCGATCAATTAAGAACGTGACGCCTAGTAGTAGTAGTAGTAGTAGTAGTAGTAGTAGTAGTAGTCGTCGTCGTCGTCGTCGTCGTCGTCGTCGTCGTCGTCGTCAGCAGTAGCAGTAGCAGTAGCAGTAGCAGTAGCAGTAGCAGTAGCAGTAGCAGTAGCAGTAGCAGTAGCAGCAGCAGTAGGAGGAGGAGTAGTAGTCGTAGTAGTACGACGACCACCACCACCACCACCACCACCAGCATAACCAGGACCACGACATGCCGCCACTGCTACCTTCAGTACCCCTACCACTGCACAAAGTTCATGTCGATGAGCACATGTACCGCGCAATAGCCTCTTGACTCCGAGCTTCCCAGCCTTCCTTTATGCAAGAGCTTGGGTCTTTTTGATTCAGCTGTTCCAAGACTCCCATGTGTCCTAGATTCAAGAGTTCGGGACCTTCCATTCTAAGCTTCGGGCCGTTGAGATTCATCAAGGCTTCTAAGGAAACCAGTTTTAAACGGCCTGGCGTTCAAGGCAAGGGGGCGGGGAGGGGTGAGGGGGTCGCTGGTTAAAGCTTTTTTGGAAGCTGTTTGTACTGATGTATTCTTGCAAAGGCCAGGGGCCTCCAGGGGACAATGTTTTCCTGTCATTCCCCCTTCCCAAACCGGAAAAGATGAGGGCGAGAACGAGGTGGGCAGAAACATGAAAATTCCTCCTCTCCTCTCTTTTCCTCTTACTCTTCGACAAGAAAGAAACACGACAATGACAGTAGGGCGACAGTCATCCTTATCTCCGACTTTCCTCTCTCCATCCCTATGCTTCTCTATGTCTTGCTCTGTCTCACTCCCTTTCTCCTGCTGCGCTTTGTGATTCTTGCTATTCCTTCTCATGTCTCTTCCCACCTCCTGAAGAAGGGAGGAGAACAAAGAGAAGAAAAGAGGGAGCAACGACAGTGAGGAGAAACGGGGGAATGTCAAGAGAAGGAGATAAATAAAGGACAAACCATAGAAGGATGACACTGTAAGAGTAAGGGATGGACAACAAAAGAAGTGTGGCCCGCCCTTGCCCTTCACTTGCACTTCTTTTTCCTCATCGTCTCCATGAGGCCCTCCCTCTTCCTCCCTCCTCGTCTTCTGATTGTTCCTCTCTCCTCCTGTTCTCCAATTGCCCCAGCACGCTCCTGCATTTCCGATGTGGGACCGTGCTACAGTGCTACTTGCTTCTGCACATGGGTGCCAGCGCAAGCCCACGCGCAAGGCTTCAAGGCGCTCTTGGCTTTAGATAAGGGGGCAGACACCCCAATCGCACTCAGAGCTCGGAGAGCCCGCGACTTCTCTCCCAAAGAACCCGAAAATGCCTCTCAGCTTGATTCGGGGGGGAGGGGCTCTCGGCTCTTCTCTCTTCTCCGAGTCTCACTTTGTCTCAGAGAATCTCCCCGAGGTCTCCGAATCTTCCCGGGTGCGCGGCGGCGGCCTCGACGGAGGCATTGCGTGGGCCTCTCCGGCCACCTCAGACGTACCCACCGTAGAAGCAAGCAGCAGCCCACCACATATTGACTTCAAGGAGGTGGTGGAGGGGTCTCTGCTCTTAAGAGAGCAGATTCCATAAGAGCACTAAAGACACAGAGGGAGATCTGCGACAGCTCAGCATTGTTTCGGCACCTCGTTATTTCCACACCGAGTGCCCGGCCCTGACACGGAGACCCAAGATCTCCCCCTGCCTTCCAAGCCAAAAAAAACCAGAAGCAAAAGGACAAGAGCAGCAAACGCACAAGACATCACGCCACACGCGAGGCAAGCAAGGGCAAAAAGATAAGCATTTCAAAAAATCGACACAAAAAACAAAGACAGATACAGAGATGTACCACAAATCCCTATTACATGCACAGGCTCTCACAGAGGCCTCGGGAAGTGGATCTCCTGCACCCCCGGGCTGGTCGGCCTCAGAGCTCTCTCCAGCATGTGACACTCAAGAGCTCAACTAACAAAGACATCAGAGAAGGAATCCTTCTTGGAGCCTTTCTTTTAGTCTGCGGAGGGAGAGAGCGGGCAGTTCCTGAGCAGGTGGCAGGCGGGCGGCCGACTCGGGAAGGAGGACCTGAACCTGACAGCAATGTCGAAAGCCCGCCAAGGTTTGCACGAAGTCAGAAGGTGCGACATGCTTGTTGCCTTTTGTCACTGTCCGTTCGATTCCTTTATTCTTCTCGCCTGCAGCGGGCGCCGGCCATCGGAGATCTTCAACCTCTGCTCTGTGGGAAAGATTCAGGCTTCTCTTGTCTCTTTGCACGGCTTCCTTCGTGAAGCTGCGAATGCAGTACCATGAGCATCTTCATAGAGTCTGTGCTGTACTGTAGGGAGAACCACGGACAGGATTCTCGGTCCTGAAAACGTCCATGAACCAAAGGCAATCGTCCTTGAAACATGCCCCCCCCCCCTTGCACTTCCCTTGCACTTCCCTTGTGCCTTTTCCGGCCATCCAGGAGATGGGATAGGGGCGCCTGCAGGGATGTTGGATCGGAGGCATCATGAGCACGTGGAAAAGGTGCCAGGCCTGCCGACTCTCGCCGTGCCCGCAGCGGACCGTCAGCAAAGTTTCCGAGGGCAACCTCAGGAAAGCAAACCGCGGCAATTCGGAGGAGGCCCTCCCTTGAGTCTCAAAGTTGAAGTTTCCTGCACTGCCCTCTTCTGAGCTGTTGAGAGCGCGACCCCTCTGCTCTGAGGACGCGGAGGTCGCAGGGTCCGCTAGCACAGCCAGACTCTGCGCCGCCCTGCACGAAAATCGCGCTACATCACTGCTACGGCGCCACGCCTGCTTTAAGGCTTTAAGGATCCAACACGCAGCAGTGTGCAAGCATCCCGCCTGCGTCTCGCACGCCGCCGCGCGCAAGCTCCGGACCTGCTTCGCCATGAAGTCGAAAGGGTCCACCGGCCTGCGGAGAGATCTGGGAGAGCAAGAGGGAAGGCAGGGAGGACGTGCGCTTTTCTTTCGTGC